TTCTACTCGAAATGGAAGTAATCCCAACAATTATGAAACAAGAGATTCCTCGAAACCCAACTTTTCGTCGAATTGATACAACAGTTGGGCCGCAATTTCAGACAGACTCCGCTTATTTTGGCGAGGCACATCTTCTGGCTCGATCTCCGTGGCGCCCAGAGTCCCGATTTTGCTGAATGATGCCATCGCTTTTGGGCATAGGCATGCATGAAGATACCATTTCAGAGCCTGGATCACTTACAATCCTGTCCGTGTGCGTGTGTGGGGGGGGGGCATTTCTTGCAAGCTTTGGCACACAAGAGGTTGCGTTGCACCTGGATCCAGCCCCTTATTTGATCTAATACCGTCTAATCTGAGCTACCCATTCTCTTTATCCTTAATCACGATTCCATTTTTGCTTAATCATGCCGGTATACGCATTCCTCATGTTTCAGTCATCTTCCAGTAACGCATCGGGGTCGGAAATGGCGCTCAGCCACATCGCGAAGCTCGATCGGTTTAGGAGACGCGAGGTGACGACCCCGGAAAGCGGCTGGAAAGACCACAGTACGGTACCGACCGGTAGAGTCCAGTCAAGGCCTCTTCTGCCTGCGTCGCCTGACTTCATCGGCGCTAAGGCAACCAATTCCTCAGCTTGCTCCCTCAAAGGGGAACCGCTCTTGCACGCATTGGACTTGGCCCAAAATAAGGTTGCGCACGAAGTCAAACAGCCGACGATGCCTGCTGACGGAATTCGCGAGGTGGTCGCTAAGGGACATGGGCAAATTAGCCGTTTTCGAGAGAGCCCCAGCCACCGAGGCTCTGTGGGAGCAGGACCATTGGTCTGTCGGCCAGAGGGGAAAAACGGCGCCGGTACATTTCACGGTGGTGCCATCCAAAATGGTGACAGAAACAGACATAACTCAGTTCCGCTGCATGGAAGGCCTTTTGTTGACCACGGTGAGTCGGGCTGCTTACGTTCCGTCTAGGCACTGTCTCCCTCTCTGGTCCATTCTGGTGCTTTCGCTGTCTGCCAGGCGTTTCCGGCCCCTATCTTCAATGTAAGCAGTTGTGGTGGCTACCAATACCCGGTACTGAGTTCCGTCATGGCTGATGACGGGCCGGCAAAGTGGAAGTCGATGACATTCTGAGGCCTACTTATCTCATCGTGTGAAATAAACCAAACTACAAGCCCTTAAACCGGCCTAAGCAATCGGCATGACATGTTCACATTTATTCATCCACCCCTTTCGCCAATTGTGTAAATGGGATTATTATCTGTACTCCATATTCTCTCCAATCAATGGTTACAAGGGGCCACAAATGAGTCTTCGATTTGACAAAACTGGTAGGGCTAACACAGGCATAGATATTGCGGCCTCCATTTTGGTGTCGGTCTCCTTTCGATGTATATAATTGGTATGACCTCATTTTGACGACTTGGTCGTGTTGACGTGTTGTCGTGTTGGACGCTCTTCGTCCGAAATCCTCTCCTGTACTAGTTGTGTTAACTCCCAGTCTTGGACTTGGTACATTCCCAGCTGACTGGCTGGCGTCATAGTCTAGCCATTCGCAATGCCAACCCAAAAATCGTCAGAGGCAAGTAAAGCCAATCCCTTGACCAACTTTCTGCCGAATGGTTGTGCTATCTCTTCTTTCTGTCCTGATCCATCTATCTATGCCCTACCCTCTTATCACACTCTCACACCATCACAACTTCGAACTTGTGTCTATTTCACTCCTCAAGAAGTGTCTCCTTTTTGGCGAGTTCAGTTTGACACATGCTGTTTGACTTCACCTTCCTCTCTAGCCTGTTGTTATTGTGACAGGTCGGGAGTGAGATAAGAGGGTAAGGAGTAGGTGGCTGTGCCAGGACAGAAAAAGGGAGTGAAAACACAACTTTTCGGTATAAAGTTGGTCGAGGGATTGATTTCACTTGTCTCTTTGACAAGTTGCAGCTTGGTACTGAGAATGGCGAGACTGAAAATTCCGTCGAAACGTCTGGGAATGTATCAAGTCCACGGTCCAACACTGGAAATTATGAGGACTATATGGCGGAGGACCTCGGACAAGGTGCATCCAATTAGGTCGCCCTGACAACACGACCAAGTAGCAAAAACGAGGTAAGACAGACATTCGGGCGTATGCTGTCTTTGCCAGTATTCTTATCGTGACAACGCACCACAAACACAAGCAAAATCAATTTATGAAAAATGCTCCATTTCACTTCCCCCTCTCCTTACCGAGGCGTCACACATTCGATTGATCCGTTTCGAGCATGACTGCTTTTAGGTCTAGCAACTCAACTAGCCCTCATCACCTGACGCACCGCGATATACCTTTGGTACCGTGTCCTAGCAACATTCTGGGCCAATTGGCTCATTTTCTCTTCTAACGGCCAGGGTGATTTATTCTGTGCCTAGTTCTTGGTCTGCCTTCCTTTGTGACGAGTCAAGCGCTGTTTGCTCTCTCTCTCCTTTCATATAATTAAAGGCATATTCATAGGCACTCTGACCTCTGGTCGCTTTTCTACAGACAGGGCTATTATCTGGCATCGCATGCCATCAGTCCATGCCAAGACTAGGATAAAGGTGCAGACACAAGGCTTGATTGCAGACCAGCGCGCAATAGGCAAAAGATTAAATGATCACACTGTTTTTCTTTCATCCCATTCAACCATCCACTGGAATTGTGGATATGAGGACCATGAAGTTGTGGTTGCAGCATCCTTTCCCTGCATATAAGGCGTTTAATCTCGATTTTGCATGTTGGTCGTGTTGTCAGGGTGGACCAGTGAACGCACCTTGTCTGAAGTCCTCTGTCATACAAGCTATGACAACTTCCGGACGTTTAGCCGGCATCGTCAGTGGGTGTTGTTAGGACTACGAGCAAA